TGGGAGGTACTGGGATGTTCTGGGGGGTACTGGGAGGTTATTGGAGAGGCCTGGGGAGTATTGGGAGGCATTGGGGGGGATTGGGAGACACTGGGAGGTACTGGGATGTTCTGGGGGGTGCTGGGAGGTTATTGGAGGGACCTCGGGAGTATTGGCAGTTGTTTTGGGCGATTTGGGAGGTACTGGGATATTCTGGGGGGTACTAGGAGGTATTGGAGGGGCCTTGGGAGTGTTGGGAGTTGTTTTGGGCGATTGGGAGGTACTGGGATGTTCTGGGGGGTACTGGGAGGGTATTGGAGAGGTGGGAGGTTATTGGAGGGACCTCGGGAGTATTGGCAGTTGTTTTGGGCGATTTGGGAGGTACTGGGATATTCTGGGGGGTACTAGGAGGTATTGGAGGGGCCTAGGGAGTATTGGGAGTTGTTTTGGGCGATTGGGAGGTACTGGGATGTTCTGGGGGGTACTGGGAAGTTATTGGAGAGGCCTGGGGAGTATTGGGAGGCATTGGGGGGTATTGGGAGACACTGGGAGGTACTGGGGTGTTCTGGGAGGTGCTGGGGTGTTATTGAAGGGGCCTGGGTGGGTAGTGGGAGCCACTGGGGGATACTGGCAGGTTATTAGAGGGACTTGGGGGGGACCTTGGGAGTCACTGGGAGTCATATTGGGGTACTGGGGATCAGGAGGTACTGGGGTGTTTTGGAAGCTGCTAGGAGGTTATTGGAGGGGCCTGAGGGGTGTTGGGAGTCCTTTACGGGGATCAGGAGGTACTGGGAGGTACTGAGGAGTTCTGGAAGGTGCTGGGAGGTTATTGAAGGGTTCTGGGGGTCACTGGGAGTGATTGGGAGGTTGTTGGAAGGGCCCAGGGACGTGTTGGGAATCATTGGCAGGGGGATTGGGAGCCACTGGGGGTACTGGGAGGTTATTGAAGGGTTCTGAGAGGTACTGGGAGGTTATTGGAGAGTCTGGCAGGGCACTGGGAGTCACTTGGGGGGTACTGGGAGGTTATGGGAGGTTATGGGAGGGCCAGGGGGTGAGACTGGGAGTCACTGCGGGGATCGGGAGCCACGGAGGGTTACTGGGGATACCGGGAGTTGCTTAAGGGGGTTGAAAGGCCTTGGGGGGTCCTGGAAATCACTGGGAGGGTCCTGGGGTTTGTTGGGAGTTATTGAAGGGCCGTGTGGGTGGGTACGGGGAGTTTTGGGAGTTATTGTGCGTGTGGTGGGTGTCACTGGAGCAAACCGGGTGTTGCTGAGGGCTCTTGGAGGGTACTGGAAGACACTGGGAGGTTGTTGCAGGGTGCTGGGCGTAGGGGATGGTACTGGGAGTCACTGGAAGCAGATTGCAGGGTGCTGGGAGTCTCTGGAGGGTGCTAGGGAGCCACTGGGATGTACTGGAAGTCACTGAGTGTTATTGGAGAGAGCATGTGCTGGGAGGCCACTGCCAGGAGTTGCTTAAGGGTGTTGAAAGGCCTTGGGGGGTCCTGGGTTTTGTTGGGAGTTATTGAAAGGCCCTGGGGGTGAGTACGGGGAGTTTTGGGAGGTTATTGTGTGTGTGGTGGGTGTCACTGGAGCAAACCAGGAGTCACTGAGGGCTCTTGGAGGGTACTGGAAGACACTGGGAGGTTGTTGCAGGGTGCTGGGAGTCTCTGGAGGGTGCTAGGGAGCCACTGGGATGTACTGGAAGTCACTGAGTGTTATTGGAGAGAGCATGTGCTGGGAGGCCACTGGAAATCATTGGAGGTCACTGGGATTTATTGGAGGGTGCAGGAGGGAACGCTGGGGAGCACTGGAAATCACTGCGGGGCACTGGGATGTACTGGGAAAAAACAGTCTGTGTGAGCTGGGGGAACTGGGATGAGCTGGGGATGCTGGAGGAAAATGGGAGGCGCTGGGAGGTGGCACTGGGCAGCAGTGGGCACTGGGGGGCAGCACTCGGAAGTACTGGGAAGAACTGGGAACACCGGGAGGCAGGAGGCATCGAGGTCACTGGGAGCCACTGGGTTGTTGAGGCAATGGGGAACGTTGTGGACTTTGGAGGACTTTTGTTTCTTTATTTTTCCCCCAACGCGTTAATGAAAAGCCTTTCTGGAGCAGCATAAACGTCCTGCTGGCTGACTTGCTGTTTCCTTTCAGGAAGGACACGTCCATCTCATCAGAATCCACTAATGGGTCTTCGCCCGTTGACACTCCCGCTTTGGAGTCCACGAGCAAAGAAGCCTATTTCAGCAGGGTGGAAACCTTCACCATATCCTTTAATGCTGAGTTCCCAACCAGCTCCTGCCATGTGGTTTCCTCTCAAGCTCCATCTTCCTGGGGACTTTTTGTCGTCTTTGGACGAGTCCCCTTGGGAGAAATGTCCCGTCCTAGATGCTGAACCCGCTCATCCCACGCCACGATGGAGTTTTCGCCTTAACGTGAGCACCCGCTCAAGTGGGCGGGCAAACCCCACGAGCTGTCTCCCCTCGTGTGTGCCAAGTACGGCTGGACCAACGTGGAGTGCGACATGCTGAAGTGCTCCAGCTGCCAGGCCTTCCTCTGCGTGAGCGTGCAGCTGGCCTTCGACTTCAGCAAGTGTACGTACACCCTCTCCTCTGCTCTGCTCGGACTTCCTTATGGTTGGACTCGATCATCTCAACTGGGGCCAAACTCTTGTGGGTGGTGGCCAGGGACAGGACAAGGGCTCATGGGTGCAAGTTGAAGCCCAGGCAGCTCCATGTCCACGTGAGGAAGAACTTCCTTGGTGTGAGGGTGCCAGAGCCCTGGCACAGGCTGCCCAGAGAGGCTGTGGAGGCTCCTTCTCTGGAGATGTCCAACCCGCCTGGATGCCACCCTGTGCCCCGTGCTCTGGGTGTCCCTGCTGGAGCAGGGCTTGGACTGGGTGATCCCTAGAGGTCCTTTGCACCCTCAGCCCTTCTGTGTGTGATTCCGTGATCTTGAAGGTCTTTTCCACCCATCATGATTCCATGACTCCCAAACGCGACGCTCGGCCGCGTTCTCCTCGCTGCAGGCCAAAACCCTTAGTCTGGGGTGACCCTGCGTATTTGGCATCTCTGAAAATAAACTGCACATCTGCTAACTCTTTAATCTCCAAAATTTCCAAATCTCCAAAATCTACCCAAGTTCCTGCTGCCCTTTGCCTGGGCCTGGCCTCTGCGGGGTATTAGCACAACACACACATGTGTCATTGCCCTGCTCCAGTTTCCCTGGCTCGGTTCAAGTCCCTGCTCCCGTTATCTGCGAGATAACGGAGGGCAAAGCACAGCGCGTGGCCCGGGTGATAGGGAGCTGCATAAGCCTTTCCTCTAGGGTGGCTCTGAATATCGACGGCTGCCGTTTGTTTAGACGGTCTGTGTTAAATAAACTGTGACCTAATTATTCTGCTAGTAATTGCACTGGTTTAGGAAGACCTAAAGTAGTTGGAGGTAGGAAAGAAGGGCAAATGTAACTTGAAAAAAAAAAAGAATTATTCCATTCTGGATGGTTTGAATGAGTTAAATTAACCTCTCAACAAAAGTTTTGGTACTTAATTTCCAGACCTGGCTGTGATTTGGTCCCTACAGCCGGGGAAGAGCAGTTTAGTTAGTTGGTTAGGAACCAGCAGCCGTCCAGGCTGGTAAAATTAGTAGCCAGTCCCTGTGCTGGTGGTTGGATGGAACCAAGCTGCTCCCTGGGAGCAGGAAAATCCCTGTGTAGGGTCTCTTCTCCCTCCATTCCTTCCCTCAGCTCTTCCCAAAGGAGGTGTCTCCACAGGGAAGTAAAGGGGGTCCTGTCTTGCAGATAAGGAGCGCTGCGTGGAGCTGAAGAAGGCCTTGTGCACCGCTCACGAGAAGTTCTGCTTCTGGCCTGACAGCCCCTGCCCAGGTTGGTCCTGCAAATTATTCCCTTGCTTTCTGCCTTTCCGCTGGAGCTCTCGTCTGCAGGTTGTCCACAAGCTTCCAAAGCAGACGGTCTTAGTCTCTTTTTTCCATTTGGGAAGGTTGAAGGTAGGGGTGTCAGAGATGCCTCTGAGTATCCTCAGCAAATGCACAAGTGAGCCACAGCTGGAACCCCACATCTGGAGCCCTGGACTGACGTTCTGCACAGCAGGGCACTCCTGGCTCCGTTCACTTCATGCAACGTTGCCTCCAGGGCAGTCAAAATGTGGTTTGGGCCATAACTGGGAAAGCACAGGGGAGGATCATTGGGACACCCTGGAAGGGTGACAGACCTGCACAGTCTTCTGAGTCCTTGCTGCACTAGGAAGGGTGATTGCAAAGGAAGAGATTCCTTAATTCTGAAGGACAGAAGAGCCCTAACAGAAGATTTTTTCCAGCCCCGTTTCCTCCCTTGCTGTGTGAGATGATAAAGGGGTGGGAAGGCTGGTATTCTAACTAAAGCCTCCTGCTTTTTCTTGTGCCAGATCGCTTCGCTGTCTTGCTGGTGGACGAGCCCAGAGCCCTTCTCCAGGACTTCCTGGAGCGCTTTCAGAGCCTGTGTCAGCTGGAGCTGCAGCTGCCCTCCCTTAGACCTGAAGACATGAAGAACATGGTGAGTTTGAGGGCACCTGCGTGATCGGGGAGCTGATGGCCCCAGTGGCAACACAAGAGCTGTCTGTGCTGGGCAAATCCCCCCTGAGACAGCTGTGAAGCCGAGGATTCCAGTTGGGAAGGGCTCGCCGGCAGCAGGGAGGCAGGAGCTGAGGCTGGAGAGGAGCCACGGGCAGGAGCGCGTGGAGATGGTCTCCTCACGGGCCCCTGGCCGGGCCGTGCTCTGCATCAGCCAAGTCTGCCCTGTCGGGCACTCGGTCGCCAGGAAACAGATGGCTCTCGGCAGGGCAGAACTGCATGGGGAGCAGGGAATACTTCGGTCGGGATAGCAGAGGCATTTTATGGTCACCAGGCTGGCTGAGCTGGGAAAACCAGCAGAGCCCCTGGAGAAAAGACGGCTTCAAACAACACACACAGCAAGTGTAGGGATTGCTCTGCTGTAACGCTCCAGCTGTCACCAGCAGCCAGGTCTGGAGCCCAGCGATGGCCTTCGGGGACTCTCTTCTCGCTGTATATCAGTGATGGCCCCTGAGGCCACCCCAGTTTGCCCACACGCAGGCAGCTGCGCGGCCCCTGTGCTGCCCTGGGATCAGAGCACTGAGCAGGGGCTGCTTGGAGTCGTGTTTTGCCATGAGCAGCAGAGCTGAGAGTGGCTCCGCTGTGCCCAGGTACCTGTAAGGAGATAAAAGGTGCATGAATGTGCTCGGGTGACCGGGACAGTCGAGCAGGCAGCCTCCCCAGGCAGCTTTTGTAACCAGAACAGAAGTGTTAAAGGTTCTAGATTGGGTGTCCAGCCCTTTGGGGAAAAAAAAATAGACTTTTTCCAGGTATTACATGATTTGTGAGTAGAGGCGGTGTCTCTTTATCAGATTAACCTGCCTGGTTTGGGGAAGAGGATTAAAGACAAGCAAGGAAGACTTCTGGGTGCAAGAAATGTGCCTGCTTCTCCGCCTGTTGTAATTACTCTAACCAGAGATTCTCTCTTTTCTTGTGCCATGGGTTTTCCAGGGCTTGTTCTCCTATTGCAGTGTTACTGCAGCCCCGGGAGCCCTGAGAGCAGCACTTGAATGCGTGAAGGGCAGCTCAGCCTCAGGCAGGAGGCAGAATTCAGACCCCAAACTCATGGGGCCGGGGGCTCTGTCTGGAGCACAGCGAGTGCTGCCCCTGACTGCAGCCCCGATGGCTTTTCTGTCCCCCAGGCCCTGACGGAGGAGAAGATCAGGCAGCTCCTGCAGCTGATCGGAGAGGAGCCCGAGCACAAAACGGAGGGAGAGAAAGCTCCGGTGAAGTTTTCTTCGGAAATGCTGCACGTGCACGTTCCTGCCTGCGTCCTGGCTCTGTGCGGCTGGACTTGCAGGTCAGTGCGTGGCTCATGCCTATGAGAAAGGCAGCAAATAAATACCCTGGCGTGGGCAGCAAATACCCTGGCGTGGGAAGCAAATCCCCCGCGGGCATCGCGCGGCGCCTGTTGCGCTTGGCTGCGATTGCCAGTGAAACCTGCCCAAGGCTGGAGAAATGTGAATGTCCTTCCCAGGAAAAGCTCGCTCCCCCCTATTTCACTATTTTTAATAAAAGCTGATCTCTGGCTGCCGAAACTGTGAAACAGGCCTTCAGAAACCCTGTTGCAAAGCTCCCCTAAAACAGGCACCTCCCAGAGTTTACGAAGTCTGAAGCAGAGCCTCCGAGCTGCTTGTTGCTCCAGTCTTTGCTGATTTAGATGCTAAGGTCAAAGCTGGGCGGTTGCCCTCAGGACTGGATTCGTTGCTCGTCAGCCCTGCAGGAAGGTGTGTTCACACTTCCAAAGCACCTGCTGCGGGTGAAACAGCCGCACTGTTGTCACCCGAGGCATCTTGCTGCGGGTGATCCCCTGCGGCGCAGGCTGGGGACAGGTTTTTTGGGCTTGGAAAGTGCCGGTTTGGGCACCCGTGACTGTGACCTTCCCTATGATCCAAGCAACTGCATCTGTTCGGAAAGCTGGGATACCGGGGCAGGGTCCAGCCTCGTCCCTGACCGTCTCCTGTCACTTTGTGTCCCCCCTGCAGCGCTGCATCCGGCTCCATGCACCTCCCGGTGATCACCTGCTCCCGCTGCATGAGGAAGGTGGGACTGTGGGGATTCCACCAGCTGGAATGCGCGGGGCCGGAGCTGGACTCCGGCGGCCTGAGCGGTGCCCCGCAGTCTCCTGCCGAGCGCGGCCCGGCTGTGCCCACGTCCCCACGCAGGATGCTCACGCGGAGCCAGGACTCGCTGCCTCCGGGCTCCGAGCAGGTAGGGCCCAGCACTCGGGACCGGCGGGTGGTTTGGGCCACGCAGGAGTTGGAGCTGATGTGGTTTGGGTGTCTGCTACTGCTGACGAGCTGGTGTGTGAGGGGCTTAGCTGTCTCCCAGAGGGATGGGACCAGCTGGTTTTGGTCCAGGGGCAAGTCTCCAGCTGGACTGAGCAAGGTTCCGTTCCCTACAGTCATGTCCATGGAGAGGTAGCTACCTCTTGGCCTGAAAAAGAGGCTCCTGTGGGCAGGGGTGCTACATCCCAGCCACTGACAATGTCCAAAGGAAGAGGGTTGTCGCTGTCCTTCACACTGCCCATTGCTCTCTGCCTTCCCAGTCCCCTAGAAAGCGCTGATTGGGCCAGGATCATGGTGAATGTCCAACTTGGGATGCTCTGAGTCAGGAATTGCCTTCACCCCTGTGCAATGAGATGTGTCCAAGGTGCTCCTGGCTTGAAGGGAGAATGACACGGGTCTCACCAGGCCAGCCGTGAGGTCAATCTTTTATTTGAGTGGAGCAGGGCCCCGCTGTCGCTGTCCCCCTGGGGTGAGGATATGCTGGTGATTATCAGCTCTGCTAATTCTTTGCTCTTGCTCCAGCAGCCTGAGAAGAGCCCGTCGCCAGCGATGTCCCGCCTGCGGGGCTGGGACTGTCCCAGCCCCGTGGAGCGGGGCGAGGCGGAGGCCGCCAGCCCCGTGCTCAGGAGCCGCCCCGTCACCCGCAGCATGGGGCAGGAGGACAACGTGGAGGTGCCGTCCAGCCCGCACCGCAGAACCAAGCGGGGCCGGTTCTGCTCTTCCAGCAGCTTGGTGAGAGCCCGTGTGGGATGAAGGGCACTTCAGACAGGGTGTTGCTGATCCAGCTGTCACTTGGGCAGCACTGGGCCAGCTCAGGGCTAGTGTTTGGGCATGGAGAAGGTTTTACCTTGTCACTAGGCTCTGTTTAAAACCGTGCTGTCACTGTCCTCTTTCACCATCATCTTCCTTCCCATCAGGACACTTCCACGAGGAGCTTCTTTGATCCCAGCACGCAGCATCGCGACTGGTGTCCCTGGGTCAACGTGGTGGAAGGAGGGGAAGCCCAGGAGAACCCCGTGGAGAAGGAGCCTGTGAAGGCAGAGCCGGGCTGGCGGGTGGTGCTGAACACGCTCTTGGCCACCAGGAAGTGTGACAGACTGCCCGAGACGGAGCCTGTGGTGAGCCCGCAGCGCGGCCAGCCCTGAGCCAAGCCCTGAACCCTCCCTGAGCTCTCAGACCCTGCTTGCTGTATAGCCTTTCCATGGCTGAAAGCCTTCAGGCGGAGTTTGGGGCAGATTGGCTTCATTTGAGCCAGAACAGAAGTCACAAACCAGGCTGGGTGGCTGGGACCAAGCCTGTGTCTGCAGAGTCTCCCTGTCCCTGTGCCTCGCAGCCGGGTCTCATCCGTTCATGCCGTGTTGCACACTGATCTGTTTGAGGGCTGCTATAAATAGCAGCCTTTCCAGAGTGGCTCTGGGCTGCCCAAGATCCAATTTCATTTCGTGTCCTGATAGAGAGCCCCACTCTGCAGATGTCCCACCAGCTGGGGCCCGTGGTGGCCAGGCCCTTGCACTGGTGAGTGTGCCAAGCTGAGCGCAGGGCAGTGAGAGGGAGCAGAGAGCACCTCTCTGTGCCTCCCTGGATCCCCCCAGCTCCATTTGCCACCTCCTTTAGGCTTTCCCCAGCCACATGCAGGGTTTTGAGCTGCAGAAACGGGTGCTTGAGTGGTCTCAAGCCCTGCTTCATCACTCGTCTTTCCTCGCTTGTCTCAAGCACTTCACATAACTTTTGTCCCCAGCAGGGCTGTCCCTTCCAGCTGTGCTCTGCACAGCTCTTAGCCAGGTAAGTGCCAGTCAGTCCTGGGGGGTAAAAGCCCCAGCTGGGAGCAGGGAGATTTGAAGCCCATTCCAGCTTCTCGCTTGACATCATCCTGCTGTTCTCCTCCCATCTTTCCTGCTGGTAAATAGAGCTAATGAAGAAAAGGAGCTCAGTGATGTCCTGGTAGCCCATTAGGAAATTTCAGTGTCTCTTTGCTGCAGCTTCTCACATGCGTTAGACGGGGGGTACCTGGGGCTGGTGGCCGCGTGTCGTGACGTGGTGCCCTGATCTCAGACCGTCACTTTGCTCCTGTCTCTTGCAGAGCCTCTCGGTGAAGTCCTGCAAGGTGTTCCGCATTTTCCGCCAGTGGGAGAGCATGAATTCCTCCTGAGCGCTCTGGAGCCGCAGCCTCGCCATCGGGACAGGGCACCGCGTTGGTCCGGTGCAGAGCTGCTTTCCAGTCACTCTCGAGGCCTCTCCGCACCCTGGGGAGCGGGTACTGAGGAGCCCCACACTCAGCGCAAAGGCCATGGGCAGCCCCTGTGCCAGACGGACCCTGGTGGCAACTGGGACCCCCTTCTCTCCCCACTGCCTTCCTTGGAGTCCCCTTCCCCTCACAAGCTGCTGCTGTGGCCCTTGGCCCCCGGGCTCGTCCGTTGCGAGCTGGGAAGCGCTGCGGGCCCATGGGGCGAGCAAGGAGACGCGGTCCCGTGTGAGGGCAACTCTTGTATCCTGCAAGGCCCAGGAGCTGCCACCAGCAGCGCAGGGAGGTGACGTCAGGTGGGAATAAAACATTTCAGTTTTTTCTTACTGTTGGTGTCGTGCGTTTTCTGTTCTGCTGGGGTCTTGGCATCAATTCTGCGTCCGTACGGAGCCGTCCACAGCCTCGTGCCTGCTGGGATCCACCTTGATCAGGGGCTGTGCCATAGGTGTAGCCTGATCTGTTGGCTCCATCCTTGAGGATATTGGGGAAGGGAGCTTCGAGGGGGGTTCAGACCCTGCAGTCACCCTTGGACTGCCCGACCCTGCTCTGCTGTGGTCACACTTGTGTGGGTGAAGGTAGGGGGACTGTCATTGCCTTTTTCAGTGACCAGGTCCCTGATCCAGCTCTCAGGCCTTGGGGACTCTGATCGCAAATGGAGGCCCTGCCTCAGTTTCCCCAACTGCATTGAGCAGAAGTTAAGGACAGCAGGATCTGTGCGCCTGGAAACCACCACCCAGCCCTGGCGGCTCCTATCTATATCTCTCCTTGTTCCATGCACCTTTAAGGTACTTGTTGGGTGCCCCATATCCACCCAGGAGGTGACCACGTTGGTTAGGGCTGATCCCTGCCCTACAAAGCAGATGGTGCCGGCGTGACGAGCCCTGAATCCTCTTTTCAGGTGCGCCCACCGCAGTGGATGGAGACAGCACATCCCGCTCTGCCCTCATGTGCCCCACCAGCCCTTCGTTAAGGAAGGCTGTCAGCTTGGCTAGGCACGATTTCCCCTGGGTGAATCCATGCTGACTGCTCCTGATCACCTCCTTGTCCTTCATGCACCTGGAAATGGTGCCAGGATGAGCTGCTCCATTGCTTTTCCAGGGTTGGAGGTGAGGCTGCCTGGTGTGTCGTTCCCTGCTCTTTGCCCTTTTTGAAGACTGGAATGAAGTGTTTTCTTCCAGTCATCAGGATCTCTCCTGATCACCATGGCCTTCCAAAGAGGATGGAGAGGGGCCTTGCAACATTGGCCAGCTCCCTGGATGCAACCCGTGAGGAGCCCTGGACTGTGTATGTCCAGTCTGCTTAAGTGACACCTAACCTGATCTGCTTCCACCAAGGGAAGATTTTCCTTTCTCCAAAATTTCTCCCTGGTTTTCAGGGCCTGGGCTTTGCCAAGACCAGTCTTACCCGTAAAGCCGAAGGTGAGGAAGGCATCCAGCACCTCAGCCTTTTCCGAGTCCTCTGTCACCAGGGCCCTTGCCCCAATCAGCAGCAGCCCCACACACATTTCCCCTGCTCTTCTTTTGCTACTGCCATATTTACAGAATCCCTTCTTGCTGTCCTTGACATCCCTCACTAGATCAACGTCCAGATGGACTTTAGCCTTCCTAGCCCCATCGCTGCATGCTCAGGTGTGCTCATCCCCTACGAGGACCAGGGCCGCACGTGAGGCTGCTTCTAGCTGCTTGTAGAAGGACTCATCTCCTGCACCTTCCTGCTCAGGTGGCCTCCAGCAAACGCCCACAGCACCGTCACCCGGGTCATTCTGCCCATTAAGCCTTACTCGTAAGCTCTTAGTCAGCCCCATCGCGCGCCCCTAGGCATCCCTGCTGCTCCGTCGCGGGAGGGATGACTCCCTTTCCTCCTATCCATCCGCTGCGGCAGTGCCGCCTCCCCTGCGTGATCCCGATGAGGTCACTGCCCCGCAGCCGCACGCAGAGCTCCGGTTCCTCCTGTTTATTCCCCGTGCGTTAGCACCGGCGCTTCAGAGACGCCCGAGCGTGCCGGTTTCCCCGGCAGGATGTGAGAGGTTTCCCCATAGCATCATCCTGCAGCCACTTCCTTGCCTACATGCAAATATTTGTTGTGTCCCCACTAAAGCTCTGCTTTGCCGGCTGTTTGTTCCCCTTGTCAACCTGCCTGTTGCCAAAGATGCTTTTGCCCTGCTGAGTTGGATCCCATCTCTCTCCAGCAGACACTGATCTTCAAGCAGACCTTGATCCTCAAGCAGGGTCCTGTGGTGGTGGAGAACCACAGGGAGATATGGGGATTGGGAGAACCATGGGGAGCCATCGGGAACCACGGGGAGATGTGGGGAGCCGGTCATGGGGAATTTGGGGAGATCTGAGAATTGGAGAAACCATGGAGAGTCATGGAAACCATTGGGAACCACGGGGAGATGGAGAGATTGGGAGAATCCTGGGGAGCCATAGAGAGTCACAGGGAGATGTAGGGAGTCATGGGGAACCTAGGGGGAGATGTGGGGACTGGGAGAACCATGGGGAGCCATACGGAGTCACAGGGAGCCATAGGGACACGCGAGGAGCCATAGGAAGTGCTGGGGCAGATACATGGGGAAGTATCCGGGGAGCGCAGGGGAATCCATGAAGGGAGCTGGGCCAGATACGTGGGGAAGGGGCTCTTCCATGTCCTGCCTTCTGTGGCAAGGTGGGACGCCCAGAGCCAGGGTGAAGGCACCTCTGGAGGGAGGACACCCAAATCTGGCTTGAGGGCACCCAACACACATGGGACCCCCAAAGCTAGGAGGGGACACCCAGAGCCAGGGTGAGGACACCCAATGTATAGTATATAGGGATATAAATAGTATAGGGATATGCTCATGAGAGGAGGAAACCGGGAGCACTGGTGTGTGTGTGTGTTTTTATGTGACATCCTCATGTTGGGCACCTCACAGCAGGGTGCTCTGAGGCCCGGGGGGTCATGGCTGTGTCCTGCCCCATGGCCCCGCGCGATCCCCCAGGGATCCCCGCGACGCCAACAATTCCCGAGCTGGGGCCACCATGGGGCGAGGACCTCCCAATCCCATGCCAGCCATTTTTCCCACTGATCCTGGCTGGAGGATGGGGACCATCCTGAGCCCCTCGCACACCAGGCAACGAGACCGGAATTGGGTGGGATGGGGCAGCTGCCCCACTGGCACCCGCTGCCCACCAGTGCCTCTCTGGCCCCAAAATGGCTCCTGGGGACCCCTGCACACTCCCAGGCGCAGCTTGTGGCGTGGGACCAGCACACAGTGTGACAACTTGGCCTCTCGGCGGCCTCGTCCGCCCTCATAAGCGGGACAGCCCCGGGTAACCCGCGGCGGCCCCCGCTGCGGCAGCCCGGGGTCTCGAACCCGCGCCCCGCCGCTCCCCTTCCGCCTCCCCGCCGCCACCAACTACCGCACTACAACTCCCGGCAGACCGCGGGGCGG